GTTAACGTCTTGCAACGGTCAAATCCCCGTACTAAACAATACCGAGACACTTTTTGTAGAATTTTTGTCCATTCTATATTTTGAAAATAACGTGTCAAAAGATGTTAGTCATGCAAGTGCAGTTAAATGTTGAACCGGAAAAAAATAAATAAAGAATATTCTACACTCATAAAATAAATCACATAACCAGTGGAAAAAATCTATGTGAATTTCACATAACTTTCATGTGATCCCATAATTGGAAATTGCACCACTAAATCACATGAACGTTATGTGTCCAATGAAATCTATATGATTTCTCATATAGAATTTCTAATGCTATGTGATATTCAGGTAAAAATCATTGTTTTTGTTTTTGGAAAAATACTATGTGCGTTCCTAATAGAAACTAAGTGAAAACTTTTTTCAGGGTAATTGACCGGCAACTTAATGGCTTTTGCTATTAGAGGATTTCAAGAATTTAAGCACTGCAAATATATGCTACCTTTCCTCTAAAATAGGAATGGTTTGTGCAAACGCAAATGAAATGTCGGTCAAAGCAACCATGTTTCAACAGCCTGTATTTCGCTTACCTACACATTCCAGAACTTCGAGCTCTGCAGTTCTAGCATCAATCGCGCACGCCAGGATTTTTGGGTGTCGCATTTGTTTCTCGCTCGTATCTTATTCTCGCGTGTCTCTTTCTCGCTCGGCACATGTTGTTTTCGTTGCGACGGGAGACGGTTTGTTGAGAGTCTCGGCAGCACATTTTTGCACACACGAGGAAAATGTAACTCTGCCTAGGCATCTCGCTATTTATCAACCAGATGTAATAATAGCTGACAGTACAGCAACTTATTTGCTGCAAACATCTGCAAGAGGTTCTGTTGCGTAAATTTCACGATCATTTCCAGTCATTTGAAGTTAACAAAACAACTGAAAGAACAGTTATCACGAACATTAACATACTTGAAATGTGCACAATAAATCTGCATAAAATAGATGAAAGATTAGATGCTGTAATTATGTAACTATAATAAATATTGTTTGAAAACCAAAAAGTATCGCGAAAGTGTGTAAATCGAGTTGAGTGACACTTTTGGTCACTGGTCTATTTTGCAGGGCTGGTAGTGGGTATGTGATGTAATAGTAGTGACTTTAGTGACTAAAATTACGAAAATAGTGACCAAATAGTGACTTTTAAACAAAAATAAAGTGACCAATAGTGACATTTATTGATCGGAAAGATAAGGTTCCAATTATCCGTTATTCCGGTATTTTTCATGCTTTTTAAAAATAAAATAAATGATTTAAGGATCACATAAATTTGTTTTAGAAACATAAGTATGCATTGAATAAGCAAGAGCACGTTCCAATTCTAACCTCCATTTCCTCACTCTGCTGATCACGAATTTATTATTAGATCGCAAAATAGAGGCACAGAGAAAAATGTTCAAAGTAGTTTTGAAGATTTAGGATATATATGAAGCGATGCATTTAGCAACATGAAGAACTGCAGTCTAGAATTAAATTTACTTAGATCTAAGTTAGCAATGAGTATATTAATAAAAGATCCTTCTCTTCTTTGTAGTCGCTGTAACGAACTGGTCGTCTTTTTACTTTGCTCCATTCCTCCCAAGAATATAATCTTCTGTAACACCCTTGGTAACACCTCAGAAAAAAAAAATCATAACTCTGCGACAGCTTTTCTAGATCGCAGTTTAAGAAAAAATCTCATTATTATGGCATGAAGAAAATTTTCCCAGATGGAATGATAACGGACATAAAACACAATTGAACGCGTCTAGGACTTAAAATGTCGATCGTGAAATATTAGAGATTTAGAGAGTTTAAAAAAAATTCTAAGGCCTGGACTTGGAATTTTTAGTTTTGTATTACCGGAACATTAGTATGGAACAAATACAATACAATTTAATGGACTTAAAAGGGAACTCAAAGATCTGTGACATGATTTTTTCTCGAAGTTTGGACGGATACTAAAGCTACCGAGGGTCAAAGATTTTTCAAATTGCTGACCTTTGAACAAATGTTGCGAGCTTGAAAATTTTCCTAGATCATTTTTTGACATTATACATTGAACCAACGAGAAATGTAGTTTTTACCTGAACATTCAGGTAACCTCTTCAAAATAGGACTTCAATGGCATGGAAATAAATTCCAATGGATTCACTGGTCCAGTCCATATGTAAGTTTTTCGTGATTTCATGGTATGAAAATGTTCTCGTCGTATTTGTAATTCAAAAATGGCGATGGAAGAAAGTGCGCATTCAAAGATGTACAACAAAAATGAGCTGTGTTTATTCAAATCGACTGATACTGAGTGGTTGCGGTACAAGCACATATCGTCGATAATAGACGATTGTTGTGTATCAGAGAACGCTTGCGCAAAAAGATTAGGGTGGGGAACGCATTCGAAACTCAAATGTCATTAGCCAAATACATCCGTAGACCATAGGTCCACCGTTGTATAATTGGCAATGCACCCGTGTACTGAATGGGAATTGTGGGTTCGATAATAATCATAAAAGTTATCCATGCCCTTAGTTTTTTTTCGCAAATTTTCTCACACACACGTCTCTTACCGATGATATGTGCTTACCTCTCAGTATTTTCAAATTTTCCTGTTATTTTCTATGTTCGAAAATCCCTGTGGTGTCGATCGACCGGTTTTCGAGAAGAACTTAGCCAAGGTTGTCAAAATTTAACTTCTTGTCTGTCAGAAGTAACCACGCTCGGATAGCAGGGTTAATCGATAACTGTCAAATTTTAACCAAAAGTTAAAATAATCCACCAAATGGTTCAGAGCCTTAGGCTGTGAACCATTTGCTGAGTTAAATTTAACTCGTGGTTAAAAGTGACATTTCGAAAGTTATTTTCTATGTTCGAAAATCCCAGTGCTGTCGATCGACCGGTTTTCGAGCCACGGTTGTCAAAATTTAACTTCTTGTCTGTCAGAAATAGCCATGCTCGGATAGCAGGGTTAATCGATAACTTTTCATCTGTCAAATTTTAACCAAAAGTTAAAATAATCCACCAAATGGTTCAGAGCCTTAGAGTATCACCTTAACTCGTGGTTAAAAGTGACATTTCGAAAGCTATTTATCTATTGAGCTGTCAAATAGTGGAACCAATCGAGCAAATCCCATTCAACAACAGAAAAAAGCACATCAGCTATTGCGAACAAAACTTCGGAAACCCTTTTCTCGTGGCTCAAGGCTCGCCTACGCAAACTAACACCATCTTTGGGTTGGGGAAAGTTTCCCCTATCCGGTAATTTGCGTTCGATTGGCGAGGAAAGAATAATCAACGTTTTGTTTATAAAAGTAGATAGTAGCTTTTCAATTGTTTGTCTAAAATATATTGAATTGGTTCCGCTTTTTGATAGATCGACATTCTATCCGCCAGAATATGAATATAGCGACTATATGTGGTACCCGTTCACCGCTTGAGCTCCATTCACCACTCACTTTGTCAAAATTTGTGGAAAAAGTTTCCAAAATGGGTTCTATGCATTAATCGACTAATTTACTCGTTTAATATGCATGTTGATCATATTTAACTATCGGCACTGAAATCACTGAGCGGTAAATAGAGACCCCACAACGATCAAAAGTTCCCTTCAACGCTCGCTCCAAAAATAAACATAAAATAGACATAAATACCCATTTCTCATAACAAAGGTGAATTTTTAATCAATATCTAATTCCTTAATAGCTTACGAACCATATTATGTGTTAAATGGCCAGAAAAGAAACACGCAGAGAAATGGCTTGAATTCAACAAAAAATATTATAGAATCAGGGCCTAATAGCAATTTTCTTTGAATCAACAATATTTGTAGTTTCAACGCAAATGTTTGTTGTTTTTGCAATGATGGACAAATATGACCATAACAATTTTATTTGAATCGAACATAATATGATTAGGATTTATTGAAACAAAGCCATTCTTTTTACTCCAATTATGCGTTTTTTCTTGAAAAAAAAACTGGTTTAAAAGATAATTTATTTTGTTTTTAAGAAACCTTATATTGATACTAATAACTTGATTTTTGATTTACCTTAATATTTATTTATTTTTCCTTATAATTATTGGCCCTATTATGTAAGTCGAGTAGAGCATCACTTTCTGGTCATTGGTCTTTTTCGGTTTTACATAAGTAATAACAAAAATCAGGACTGGTAGCAGGTCACTTTTTAGTGACTTGGTCACAATTTTCAAGTCGGTCACTAAAAAGGCACTTTTTTCATCAAAAAGTCACTTAAGTCACTATTCCTTAAAATTTAGTCACTAAAGTCACTTTTTTTACGACCAATGTTGAGAGTAAATAATTTGACTTTGAAAACTCAGAGTAAAGTCTGACAAGAATAGTTGCGAACATATGGTAACGTTTACTGTTCACGAAATCTAATATTTTATTTATTTTTATCTTGAAATTGTCATAGACTTATCATAAATTTTCAGAGATTTAAAAAAAAAAGCTCTAGACCCAATATTCTGGTTGTTTAGTGTGTATGGTGTATAGTGTGAGCAGGAATAAGCGCGAGTCTTTGACAGCTCAACATCATTTATTTGTAAACAAAGGTGCATCCTATATCTACACGACACCCTAAAATATTTCGGTGTACGGCAGTGTAGCACCGGTGTAGCTACACCGCAAAAACGAAAACGACATTAGAGTATCACCTAGAAAGCTCTCAATTAACAACTATGGGAGTGCTCAGAGAACATTAGCCAAGAGCAGGCAATAAAGTTCAGTTGGGGTTGAGGGGGACGTAATAGCCAAAGAGGAAAGAAGGACGAAGATAATAATTCTAATTAGAATAGATAATTGAAATAACATGTGTATTATTCTTTGCGAGTTAATCCAGCTCATTCGTATGCAAATCCCTATTTCAAATTTGCAGCTTCGATCACCAAGCATTGTTTGAATTAATCGAATACAAGCATCTAATAAGGCTTATAAGGACCCATTATCAATGGATGTATGTTATTCCACATCCCGTCTCCTTAATCCTTCTTCTTAATCTTCAGCTTCGCCAGCACATCCGGCAAATGATCCAGCAGTTCCGATTCACTCATATTGAACTGATTGGCGGCCCAAATCATTTTCAGCTCACCCAACACCCGACCTAGCTGTTGACCCTTCGGTGCACCTTTTTCGACTAGCGAGTTACCCTTGATGGGGAACGCCGGTATTTGCCATTCCTTGAGTTGATTGTACAGATCACGTTTACCGTGGTAGCGAAGCAGCTCCAGGACGTATTCCTTCTTCAGTTTTGCACTTCCGATCGTATGCAGGGTCAGCTGTTGAAAATCTCTGGAAGGGAAGCAAGGGGGGGGGGGGGGGGGAGTGTTGACGGGTTAAGTGATGAACGTGGTAACACAAATGAACATTTAACTTACAAAAGCTCATTGACACTATTGAATTCGTCTCGGTTTTGCGTTAGAAAGTAGGACAGCTCTCTTTCAAACACTGTAAACTTCAATCGTAGGTTCAGCGTGATTGCTTCTTCTGGTGTTTGAAGCAAGGCGGATAGAACTGTGATCGGTTGTATCTCACCAGCCTGAACAGATTCAACGTTTTTGAATGTCTTCAAAAACTCATCGGTGTTTGGCTTTTCTGGAAGACCTGAAAATTGAACATGTTAAGTTATTTTACAATTCCGTTTCAGCATCTTAACTTACCCATGTGAGGAGCCAGCCCACTATCGAGCATTTTGATCGTTAAGTCGCAACCAAAATTTCCACTGAGTATCTTTTTCCACTCCTGCCAGATTCTCTCGCCGCTTATTTTTGCTAGTCCAGAACCATTTTTAGTAATTATTCTGAGCGTTTCCTCATCGTGGTTGTTCTCGTGTTCTGCTATCCTTCCGTAGAATCGGAAATATCTCATGATTCGAAGGTAATCCTCTTTGATCCGTAAATCAGGATCACCGACAAATGCAACACGACGTTTCTGGAGATCTTCGTATCCGTAAAAGTAATCGTACACCTTACCATCAAAACCTGAAATCAAAATTGATTAATTAGGTATTATCAGTAGTTAGTAGCTCGATTTTAAACATCATATACCCAAGAACATTGAATTGATCGTCAAATCGCGCCGGTTAGCATCTAGCAGCCAATCCGTCGTATGGATGACCTCTGCATGCCGCCCGTCCGTCACCGCATCGATTCTCAAGGTGGTGATTTCAAAATTTTCCTTATCATTGATCCTCGGTGTGATTGTCCCATGTTTTTCCCCATTCATGTTCACCATACGAATGTTTTCCTTCGTGAAAATTTCTTTCATTTCGGTTGGCGTTGCCGTCGTAGCAATGTCTATATCCTTGGGACATTTTCCCATCAGGATATCCCTGCAAATTATCATCACTGAATAAGCATTAACTGCTACATATTTCCACGCGGGAAATTCCTTCATACCTTACAGCTCCTCCAGCAACGCGAACTTCATAGTTGTACCTCTTGAACAAGTCAATCAAATCCTCGAGTTCTTTCGTGAAGATGGACCGAAACTCCGGTGTGTCTATCTTCATCACCACAGGATCCGATCGAGCGATTGCACTAGCTTCCATTCTGCGTTTCACAATGAAATCCGACCACCGATCAATGTCCCTTTGGCAAAAGCAACGCTGCGTTCAATTTAGATTGATATGAAAATAGTTATCAAGTTATACAGAAAGAACTTCACTTACTTTTGGTTGCTTTTTGAAAAATCGTTCGATCGGTAATCGATTAAAAACTCTTCTGAAAAGCATACCGCACAAGGAATAGCACCAGTAGCAAAACACTGTTTATTTTGTTTTTCAAATACCCAAGAAGATGTCAAAATCAGCTGGCACTCCGCTACTTGGCAACGGCGGGATTAACGGAATTTACTGAGGAAAGGTTTATAAAAAATAAAAGGTTGCCGGACACAGTGACATCACACGGGGGGAAGGAAAGATTAAATACACGCTAATTCAAAACTCCCAAATTTGGGTACACGGTTAGAAAAAAGTACCCAAAATTAAGTTCTTTTCACTAATCTCGGCACTATAGTAAAGGCACCCAAAAGTAGGTAAAGCGGGTCGAAATAATTTTCATTTACTTGTGTGCAGTTCGTATGGAATTTTCCACTGGCTTTTTAACCAAAAGTATGTTATTTGTACCCAACAGTAGGTAAATAGGATTATACTCAACGTTGGGTTCCCACACTTTACTACCCCTGTTGGGTGGTTTTGCTCCTCCGTTTTTGACAACATTAGAAGGAGAAAAGGAGACAAACTAGTCAAAAGTAGGTAAAAGTGAACTGGCCGTTGGGTACTTTTTTCTTACCGTGTAGGTCAAAACTTGAGTATTTTCGATTCATCTACCCGACTTGAAAAGGTGTATTGTATTTTTTCGTATTTATGTATTTTTAAATTTTGTGTATTATTGTATTAAAGTCGAGATTAAAGTGCCATCCATTGACGGCAATCGAATGTGCAGAAAGGCAGCTTCCACACATGCATAGGATATCGCACCCATTCAACGCACATGAGCCGGGACCAACGGCTTTACTTCCCTTCAAAATTTCTTGTACAATATATACGTACAATAAGATCGATTGTGACCAATATATTTTGATGTAATTGTATTTTATTATATGGCAATTGTATCCAGCATTTTACGAGCGCTTATGGCCGCCACAATCTGATGGCTGGGTTTTTGGCACATTAATAAAATTCGACACATTTTTATTTGCGAATTTCCATGTGAAATTCCACATGATTTTCATGAGTCCACACATAAAACGATTTCCTTCAGAAGTACACATGAAATTTATGATTCAAATGAATAGTTTGTGTGGCTTCCTTGGGGGCTTCACATAAATTTTATGTGTACACATAAAAACTATGTGTCCGACACATATATATCATTTGTTTATCTCATTCAAGGGGTGGTCACAGGGATTGTTTTGCGCCAAGTTTTTTCTCAGTGTACCTCAGTGTGCCGCAGCTGTACCGGCAGTGCAAAGAAGTCATTGAACTGACTTTTGATTGCTTGTGAATAATGCCTTGTTTGGCAACCTGGTATTTTAACAGCTCTTGTTTTTGTTTTGTTTTTCAATGTTTTCAAAAACGACACAGACTACAGTTTTGACTACACACTGGATGCATCCGTCTCCAAGGATGCCTGCAACGGACGAGCTCCGTTGCTACACGATCGGCGGAAGGCCGACCCCGCACAACGAACGTCAATCATTAGTCAACCAACCCTTCTGGGAGCCGGCGGAGGAAACGGATTAGCGCCGAATTTTTCATCACCCGAGTATCATCCGTCGGAAAACTGGAAACCAACACCGGGTGGAACACACGTCGGACTGATGAAGGACGCACCGCTGACCCGAAACGGACCAGCCAGTTTTCCAAGCAGAACTACTTGTTAGAGTCCACCTGTACTCCCTGCCGGACAATTCGATCAGCTTCAAGGTCTACAGCGCCTCCGAGAACAATCGCTTCCCAGGCCAGCAAAAATCGCATTCTTCCCGCTGAAATCGGAAAGTTCCCGAGCGTAGCCCTGGTGGTGAACGCCATCATGAAGTGCAACCACAGCGCGATCGATCACAAATGCACAAAACTCCCGTTCATTATGAAGATGTTAGCTATTTGAACTATTTGAGATTTTGCTAAGACGGTCCTCCAACATTATATGAAGGACGATGGAATGGTTGGTGAAGCAGCCACCGCCATGGATGTATTGGAGCAGTTCGAATGGTCGGATGGTATAGTTTTTGTTTGGTTGTTGACTTTCCGATGAAAACTCATGCACCGCTTGTCGTGACCGGCCCAAGATTTCCAGCGTCGGCCACGGATTAGCGATGCAGCTCCCACGGTTGCGGCTGCTTCCAATGCTGCTGCTGCTGTTCCTTCTGCTGGTCCGTCTCCTCTAAAATTCGCAGCCGTGGGAGCTGCATCGCTAGTTCGTGTAGCCATGGCCGGTCAGGTCAAGATACCGCTGTTAGCTGTTCTTCGTCTGGGAGGAAATGTGGATGCGACTTCCGTCACGGGTGTAACGATTTTGAGAATCCATGGCGAGACTTGGTTGAGATTCACGGTTGTTTTGAAAATAATTTGACTACACACAAAAAAACAAAAATTATGTTATTAAAAATTATGTGTTTTCAAATTAAAAGTTCTAAAAATTTGGTTATTTTAACAACAAATAATTTCAAAATCAAATTTAATTTTTTAGCTTGAAAATGATTCTTTCACTATCAACTCGTAATTTTAAAAGTGCATATTCTTAAAACCAATACTGTTAAACTGTCAAAATATCTATTGAAAAGCAAATGCAATCATCGTCGAAAAAGCCAATAGGGCATATAGTCTTAACCACTAAGACAAAATCCCTCAAAAAGACATACAGTGCCTGCAACGGTAACCGATTCCGATATCTCCCCTCGGGTGTTCTTTATACCCCGTTCACATTACAACCTATATCACGTAATATAGGCTGTCTTGCAATGAGCACTCATACATAGGATTTCCAGTGAAAACTAGATGTATGAGTGCTCATTGCAAGACAGTGTATATCACGTGATATACGCTGTAATGTGAACGGGTTATTAAGTAAAATTTAGTTTCATTTAGTGATTCCGCACGCAATAGGTAAGATTGAAGGAATTGGGTTCTTTAATACCCCGTTCACATTACAGCCTATATCATGTAATATAGGCTGTCTTGCAATGAGCACCCATGTATAGGATTTCCAGTGAAAACTAGATGTATGAGTACTCATTGCAAGACAGCGTATATCACGTGATATACGCTGTAATGTGAACGGGGTATAAACAACAATCAATACGAAACTAACGATTTTAAATTGGCTCACCACTTTAGTAGCCTATTGGTCCCAAGCAAACGATTAACGTACCCTATTCTAGTTGAAATTCTATTACTACACTATGTTTGTTTTGATTCGCTATGAAAGTTTGACAGATAACATCAGGGGTGTGTGGATTCATGCAGAACATGCAGGGGTGAGTGAAATAGCTTGGGACTGCTTGGGACCGTTGTTCTGGTACTGAGTGAGCCAAAAATAATAATGATTTTCTTCGGGACCCAGTGGTCTTAGAGTTACCTCTATGGTATAAAGGCCCAAACGCAATGTGGACGGAAGAGGAACGGAAACGGAAAGTTTGACAGTTGTTTCAAATGACATCAAGATGCCTAACCGAAGTCGATTTGGTTTCAATAGGTTTCAACAAGTTTTCAATCCGACAAGTTGGCTTACTCAGATCGGGCTTTTCCGCTGCCGTTGCCGTTCCGCTTCCGCTGTCATTGCGCTTGGGCCTTAAGGGTATTAAGGTAAATACATATTCGTAATCTGCATTAAAAATGGAACCCAAACCCAAAATTTTATCAATTTGTGTACACTAGAACCACAAACGAAGTGACAGACGACTTTCTCCGAAGAAATTAATTAAAATAATGTGGTTCTCTGTAATAGAATTTTAGTCCACCTTCCGCCCCTCACCGCCAGGTTCGCTAGTATTTTTGTTTTGAATTAATTCATGTTGGTTTTGTGTGCAATGATCTGGCAACTTGCATTGACGGGGTGCTGTTTTCTCACTCATCGAAGGAAATTTTGATTAGAGTGAGAAAGTAAGGAACAGTCAGTGCGGGAGCCGTGTGCGTTACTATAGGTGCGGCAGAAGGAATGTAGTCGTCTCTTTTGTTCTCACGGTGTTCTTACACATGATCCAATGTTACGTCACACTATATTATGCATAAGAACGTCGTGATAATGAAAGAGCTGACTTGTTTCTTTCTGCCTCACCAATCACTTTGCATCCTATTGACCACAAATCGCAACCCGGAGTCCAGCAGCGATTGCTTCTTTTCGCATCCCAAATCGTCCAGAGTTAGCATTTTATGCTTCAGAAATCTATCGACCAATCCAACCAGTTCTTGACTGATTTCCTGCCCGGCCTTGAACATGGTCATCGCGAAGATTATAACTATAGTTGAAATGTAATCCACAAAATTCCAACTGGAGCTTCCACAGCGGGAGCAAATCTGGGCTTGATTCCTAGGGCAGTATTTACTGAATTTGACCAATATTTGCACAATTCAATGATCGGCTCGGATACCTCCGAAGCCTGCTGCTTAATTTGATCCAAATGTATCCGCAGTTGAAGTGTGATGAATATAACGATTTCTACCAAAAGCTGATCCGGAGGGGAATTCACAGTGAGGATTTTCAATTTCTCTGATAGGAATTTCAGCGTTTTCATATCCAGAACAGAGCTGTTTTAAAAGTTGAGATACTTCCTCAAAATCCACACGAAACTTGCCGTTGGCTATTCTATTTTAGATTCTATTTCGGTCTAATCGCCCATTTTGAGCCTATCGAGCAGAAAACATCAAATAAATCCATGATTTCAGAGTTAACAAGTCAATTATGGGTTTGGTACGATACTTTAGTTAAAAAGCTACCGAACGAAGTCAATGAGAACGCGTGGTATGAAGGTTTGCACCCATTATTCCCAAAAACAAAAGAAGCGCTCCGACCGAATCAATTTTTATCTTCATCCGATAGGCCGAAGTGAATTCATTGGCGTTTCAATGCGTTAAGCCGAGTTTAGAATCCGTAGGCCGAGTTTGGCATCAAGAAGCAGTGTGACTTTTGTCAATATCTCAACGATTGGTTTCTCTTTATTAAATCTTACGGTACGTACAAAAAGGTAAATAAATTTGGAAGTCATCAGTAATAATAACATTTAGTTTGATGCTAAACTGTGCTA